AGCCGCAGGGCGGGCGCGAAGATGCACACGACGCAGAAGGACACCACGTACACCAAGATCTTCGTCGGGGGGCTGCCCTACCACACCACCGACGGCAGCCTGCGCAAATACTTCGAGGTCTTCGGCGACATCGAGGAGGCGGTGGTCATCACGGACCGGCAGACGGGCAAGTCCCGGGGCTATGGATTTGTAAGTTGCATGGTGGGGGTATCGGGGGCAACGAAGAGCATGGCGGGGCGATAGCGAGCTCGGGGGCAGGGAGGACAGGAGGGTTTCTTGGCCCCTGAGAGTCGGAGTTGGGAGGGAGGGGACTGACCAGGAGGGACCTGCGGGCGTGAGCACGCTTCTTCTCTAGGGCTGAACTGAAACTTTGCACGTAGGGCTAGGGGACTGAGAGCCAGCACCACTGCTTCTTAGGGGCTTCCAAGAGGACCCAGGAGTGGGGGTGCGGTGTAGGGAGAAGGGCGCAGCTGGGGTGGCAAGAGCATTGTTGTAACGACCCTTGGGTTTAGGGGTGCGGAGGATGGGGGTGAGAGGGGCCGCAGCCCTGCAGAATTGCTTTCCCGGGTTGGTGGCTGGCGGTTACGGGAGCTGTTGCTTTTATGAAAACTGCATGTGTCTTCTGGCGTTCCGGCTGGGCCAGAGAGAGAACACCCCAAGAGGCCCTCCCCTCTTGCCACCGAACCCCTTCTTTTATAATTGCCAAGGTACGTTCTTTGCCGAAACAGAGCATCTTAAGATTCCTGGAGATAGCAGCTCAAAAATTCAGCTGCCTAGCAGCAGCCAGCCACAGAGTCGGACAATAGCTATTGTCGTTGGGGATATATTTACTATGGGTAGCTGGGCTGAAGAGGCTAGACTTTCTTTAATGCAAACAGTGGCTCTGTGGCAGCTGGGGGATGGGGGGAGGGAGTCTGGGAGCAGGGAGGCTGGAGAAACATTCTCAGAGCAAATTCAGGCTTCCAGATCTCAACTAGGCCCTACTAGCACCTGAAGACTTAGGGGGTGGGGTGGTGGTTACTGGAGAGGTGATCAAGTAATAAAAGCCAGCAAAAATCAATAAACAAACAGACAAACAAATAAGAAGAAGAAAGTAAGTTTGAGAATCTTTCAGTTTGACCATGAATAACTTCACTAGTGTGGGTCTTGGATTTTCCTAGGGGTTAATTTAGAGCTTTGTATGTGTGTGTCTGTGTGTGTATGTGTTGCTAAGGTCACCATGGCTGACCGGGCTGCTGCCGAAAGGGCCTGCAAGGATCCCAACCCCATTATTGATGGCAGAAAGGCCAACGTGAATCTGGCATACTTGGGAGCAAAGCCCAGGATCATGCAACCAGGTGAGAGATGGCTGTCACATGCCCCCCTACCCCCTACCCGCCCCCACCACACACACACACACACACACCAGAAGCCCACCCCTTCCCTCATATCTGAACAGTAGGAATTCCTAATTCACAAAACATTGTTTCCCTTCGAATCTATAGATGTGTTTAGGGAACTTGAGCCATAGGTAGTTATTTTACCTAGGTGTGAAAAATATTTGAGAGTTGGCCAACACTGGTTTTCAGGACCCAAAAAGCACCTGTCGAGTCTGGCATCTAGTGTGCCAAACTGTACATGCATAGTCCACTCTCTATTTTCTAGCTATTAGCCTCCTGTAGATGATTCACCGGTGGCCTTTGTAGGCCAAAGTTGAGGATTGTAGCCAGTTATCCTTCCTTACATATCTTGTCTCTGTGCTCAGAACAGGTAAACTGACTTGAACACCAACTCAAGGGAAGTATGGGGATGGGATTAAAATCAAGATGGTAACACTTTGATATAAAATCGCAAGATAGTAGCAATGGAGAAAAATCGAGCAATTGCCCTAGTCAAGGACCTTCCTGTTCCAGGTGAAGCAGTGGACAATTAGAGATGCGAAATCATTTTCTCCAAAGCTCTGTAGCAGTTAGTCACCAAAGGGGAGTCTTCATGGTTGTCTGTGTGAGACTATGACCTTTTGTAATATTTCCACTGCCCTTTGTTTTAGTGCAAATGACGATGAAGGGCTGGCTATTAAAAGTGTGTGCTCATTTTCTCTTGGGTGAGCAACTAGGCCCTATTAGATCACAGATTCTTCAAGTGTCTTTCATCTGAAGTTTTGAAAAGAGCTTGAGGTTTCCATCGAAACTGACTGAAAAAGAAAACTACCGTATAGATTCGAGTATAAGCTGACCTGAATATCAGCCAAGGCACCTCATTTTACCACGAAATCTACATTTTAAATGTGCTGGAAAACTTGGCTTATATACAAGTATATACGGTAGGTTGTCCAGAGAGAAAGAACATGTGCACAGATTCAAGGGCATTAAATACGACATAAGGAATCCTTGGGCAGCACCAATGGTTCAGTGCTCATCCATCACCAAAAGGTTGGTGAGTCAAATCCACCTAGTGGTACCTCCAGGAGGCAGTCCTGTAAATCCCCTCTTCCAAAAGGCCGGGCCACACAAACCCTGTGGAGCAAGTCTGCTCTGCACAAGTGGGGGCCCCAGGAGTCCAAATCAGCTAACAACAACAACAAATAATAATACAGCAAGTTGTTTGCTTTAGTGTGTATGTATCTAGTATCCAGGAGAGCAGTAGAATTCATTTTCCTGAATTTTGAACACTATAGGCTGCACAATCCAGTTCTTCCAGAACCTTGTCCAAAGCATTCCAAAATCAATGTCCCGAATTGCAGAGGCTTTTTAGAGATTGTGGTTCAGGGTGGTAGGAATATTTGTGCCGTGCCACTGCATCGTCAAATCCTGCTGTTGCTTGTTTCCATTTCCCCAGAGTTTTCCCTGGTCTAATTTTTTTCACCAGAGTTTTCCCTGGTCTAATTTTCTTTTATGGCTCTCTTCTCTCTGTCTGTCAAGTAAACTTGGCAAATTCTTCTTCTTCTTTTTTTTTTTTTCTCCTAAGTTTCCACTGTAGCCTGTTAAAATCCTTATTTGGGCTCAATAGTAGCATTTGTAAAACTGACTGTACACACATACACATACATATTTATGAACACTTATCTTTTCTGAGTGCCAGTTTTCTTTCTGAAGTGAAATGGCTACCTTTTCCAGTGATTGCATTGCTCGTGTTCTAGTACTGTGACCGTGTTCAAATAGAGAATGTGGTGTGTTTTGTTGCTAGGTTTTGCCTTTGGTGTTCCGCAGCTTCATCCAGCCCTTATACAAAGACCTTTTGGGTAAGTCCATTGACCTAGGCCCTCCTAACATTTTAGTAGAGCTGTCAAATCATTTGTTAAGCTACCTCTTTGTGATGTATATACCCACAAGACATGTCATAGAATTTTCCTGGTTATACATATTTCTATATGCTTGTGTCTCTTTAATTGTGGATATGATAGATATTTTTAGATGAGTCAAGTTTTATGTGACCAAGTATACAGCCTTCCAACCAGACATGTTTTGAACTTTTGATTAACCAAACAAAAACACCAGGTACGACTTGTGTACAAGGTGATTGTACCCCTTCACCATTACTGCTGTTCAACTTGACTCAATTGTATTTATCTCTTTTTAACCTGACAGGGCTCGTATACAGTTAAGCTAACTGATCAGAAGGATACGATGATAAGAGGTGGAATAGTTCTGTTTGGAATTAAACTCTGTAACCAGTAGACTCAGACACACAAGCTCAGATGGTGATTAATGATGCATGAATGTTGGTGTTGTTTTTTATTTTATCTTATTTTATTTGTTCACACTAGTCAATAGACCTCGTGTGCTTTATTTTATTGATTACAGTAATGAAGTGGTGTTGATAGCTAAACTGTGTGCTTTTTTTACTTAATTGAAAAGAGCTATAGTGAAAGTGTTTTCTTTTTCCTCGGGGAAGGGGCTCTTTGTGTTTTGGGGTTTGGGCGATGGTGTTGAGGAGTGTTGACTTTTGACTTTGCCATGGGAAGCAAAGGGCCCTAACTTTCCCCTCCTCTTGCTTTTTAAGCTGTAGCCTGTGACTTGCACTTACATGTACTTTTGTAGTGAGTGCTCAATATGTGTGCTCTCTTTCTATAAGAATGTAGTCTCCTTGCATGTCTTCTTCACATTTCTGTTTCCCTCGGGCGTTTTCTGAGAATGGACTTCTTTCTTTTGTAATATGTCTCTGCTCTTAGGCCTTCTATTTTAAAGGTTCAATGCCTCTCATCAGATTTCGTTAACAATAGCCAGAGTGGGGGATAGAGTAGCACTACCTCTCTCACTTTGTGGAGCTAACCCAGGTGAACAGCCTGCTCATGTATCTGAGTTACCTCTGCGTCCTGTGATTAACAGCTTTCCTTACCTGAGCTCCCCATGCCCCTCCCATTCAGATATAATATGGGTAGGATATCACCTACCTCCTAAATGGATTCTGAACATTAGAGTCTAGTTTGGCTGTGTCCTACCTGACCAACATTCCTGTGATTTGAATGCTAGAGCTTTAAATGTTCTTTAAAAAATTTTTTTTAAGTTCTATTTGTTCAAGGTGTGTTTCTATCCTCAGTGATAGATTCTCCCCTAGTTCAAGAACTAACCTTCGATAATACTTGTAACCTGGAATGGTGGAACCTGTCTGTATTTATGAAAATATATATCCTGAGCCTAAGAGTGGAGATCATAAGAGTAGTAATAAGTTGATTTGGAAACATCAAACTATATTCTTCCACGAATGACTTCTTATAACTTTACCTTTAAAACACAGAGACCTGACTTTTACTGCCAACTTCTGCTTTGTGTTTTCAACCATAGAAAAGAGTCTTCTATCTGATAGGATTAGAAAAGGCCTTCTGAGACACATACTTTTTTATCAAAGCTGTTTAACTTCTTCATTAAAGCTGGACCTGGACCCCAAACAGTGAAGTGATAGTCTCACTCCTGTGGGATTCCATTCCCTCGGTGGTCTACACACCAGTTTCCCAAAGTAGACAATACTGCCCCCTGGGGGGTGCTGGGCTGCATGGGAGCTGCAGAAACAGATACCCACACTTTATCCTGGATTATGAGGTTGTGTTAGTCTGGGTAGACTAGAGAAACAAATCCGTAGAAACTCCTTTGTGTATAAGAGAGAGTTTCATATAAAGAGTACTTTTACAGTAAGAAAGCATCCCAACCCAGTCCAGTCCAAGCACATAAGTCTGATATTAGCCCATATGTCCAATACCAATCTATAAAGTCCTCTTTCGACTCATGAAACAAATGCAATGACGCCGAGTGCAGGACAATCACAGGCCAGTGGGTAGAAAGTCTTTGGATCCAGTGGCATTGTAAGCATCTCAGCACTGGCAGGGGTCTCCACATGGCTTCTCCAATTCCAGGGCATGGGGTCTGTCAGCATAGTGCCATGTGTCTTGTCAGTAGAGCATCCCCAAGGAGTGAGCGGAGAAAGAGAGTGTGGGTCTCCTGCCTCCAGGGAGGAAATTCAGAAGTCGCCAGAATCCTCAGGAGGCCATGCCCACACAGAGGCCTCATTGGCTATGATTAGATTGACAGACTAGACTTCAATCCTTCACTCTTAATCCTCTGAAGTCTTAAATTGACACCAGATTATATAACTATCATAGGGTTTATAGTCAAAAAGTTTAAATGCCAGGGAGGTTGCTGAGAATTTTTTTTTTTTTTTCAGAAAAGGGAACGAAAGGTCAAATACATTTGGGAACCTATGGTCTAGGGTCTGTTGGCAAACTACGGCTCAGTGGCCATATATGGCTTTTTCAGTACATGCATGTGGCTGTAACGTATAATTGAAAAGTTTCATTTGTTAGTAAAATATATTTATAGCTCTCAAATAATTTTTAAACATTTGTGAGGAACAAGATTTGCTCTTCCAGCTGAAAAGTTTGCCAACCCCTGATCTAATTTCCAACCCCTTAAATCTACTGTTTTTAAAGTAGAATTATGGGGGAGAGAATACCTCTTAAGAAGTAATGGTGAGCTTCGTCATGATTTTACACTAATAATCTTGAATTGGTTAGAAAGCTAAATCAGTCAACAGCTATTGTTAGCACGCACATGCACGAGTGTGTGTGTGTGTGTGTGTGTGTGTGTGTGCTGTGCTGTGATAGTATATAAGGCAAAAGGAAGATAATGTACTGTGGTTTGAAAAATAACTCTAACAAAACCTATCAGGGATAATTCCTTGCTAAATTACTTGGAATTGTTTCAAGTTCAAGAAGAATTCAGAGAAGCATGGCTGCGGATGTGCTAGAAGAGTTGGGGAAAGGTGCACATGGGCTGGGGCGGTGGAAGGAAGAGAGGGTCGGCTGGTGAAGTGAATGTGTGTAAGACACAGTGGTTAATGGCTCTGTACCCGGAGAAATCAGACTGCTGGAGGCGGGCAGGGGGTTCTTAAGAGCGAGACACAGACATTCAGATGTGCCACGACGGTCTTTTATAGATCCTTGAAAAAGGAAGAGGTAGAACAAGGCAAGTAAGAGCAACCAGAGTCAGCCATCAGGTGGAAATTTTCAATCACGTGTGTTGGATGGCAACTTTTTAATACTCACTGTCTTTATAAGGGATGGTGATGGTTACTGTTTTTGTAAACTGTTTGAATCTGAGATTTGTATTAGAGATAGATCGCATTCCAGAGGAAAACAAGCAAGCTGCCTCATTCTCTCTGAAGGGGCTTCCAGCCTTGTGCTCATACCCAAGTCTGGTCCTAAGAAATGCCACCTGTTTGGCCTCAATTCATTTTGAGTGCCACATATTTTTAGTTTAAGCCTACAGAGCTGCTTCCATAAAGACACTGGAGACGTTTCTATATTATCCCAGTTGTTTGAAATTCTAGTAACAAATTACTATTTTTTTAAAATGTGGTCCCAGGTTACTCTCTAACATTGAGACAAAACCTCAGTCCAGATGTGGATTTGCTTAAGAGTATCTTAAACTATATTATGTTTGGAAGACACGTTTTCTGCTTGAATCCTTAGCAGCCCAATGGGCAAATCACTACACCACCCAAACCAAACCAAACGCACTGCCCTCGAGTCTGTGCCCACTCGTAGTAGCCTATGGTTTCCTTGGAAACCCTATGGGTTTCCCAGACTGTCACTCTTTATGGGAGAAGAAGCCTCTTTGTTCTACCTCAGAGCAGCTGATAGTTTCCAACTGCTCACCTTGCAGTTATCAGCCCAACGAGTAACCACTATGCCACCAAGTTTCCTGATACTACCTTTCCCAGGGCTCCTAATATAGTAGGTAGTCATCAATAAATGGGTACTCTGAATGAGCTCCATCATCCTTCAAAACTTGGGTCACCTTTGACCTCCTTCTTGAAGCCTTCCTGGGGGATGAGCCCAAGGGGGCCATTCTTCCTTATCTGAAGCTGCACTGAAGAGCACTGAGGGGAGTTTGTTCTCTGAATCGAGTCCTGGATTTTGGGCTACAGCCTGAAACACAGAGAAAAGAGACAACCTTCAAGGTCAGGCAGACCAGGAGTCTGAAAAAATTAGACTCCATCATCACTTCCTAATTAACCTCTGTGTGTCTTATATTGTTTGTTTTTTATGGGGTGGTTTTTTGTTTTCTTTTTGCTTTTGTTTTCCTACCCAGGGAAAGGATAGTCACAGTGCCTTCTGTCAAAGAATGGTGAGGATGAAATTACATAATTTATGTAAATCCCTTATCAGTACTAGGCATGCAGCAGATGTTCAGTTAATGTTAATAACAACCCTCCCTGCCTGCTTAGCAGATAGTATAGCTCCTAGCACACCGAACACAAATTCAACACATAAGGTGTACTGATTGATGTTTTAAAGGTATTTCCCACCTGATTCGACATTGGCCCAGACACTTCTGCTCACCTGCCATGCCATAGGAGAAAGAAAAGAGTTCCTACCAGCCTTGGAAGCACACCAGGGTGGGCGGGCAGCTCCACTCTGTCTTATACAGGTTTACAGGGAGTCGGAATAGACGCAGTGGCAACAAATGAGTGCAACCTGCTATGTTCCTACTAACAGCGTCTGGTTGTTTTATTAAATGCCCAACAGCAACTCAAAATGGAAAATGCTAGGCCCATTTCACAGATGGGAAATGTGAGGCTGAACAGAAAAAGCAAGTTGCTGAAAAGCCTACACACATAAGCAGTACTACAATGAGATAGGCATCCCCGATGGTGCAAATGGTTATGCACTTGGCTACTAATTGAATGGTTGATGGTTCAAACCCATTCAGAGGCACCTCAGAAGAGGCCGGGCCATTTGCTTCAGAAAGCTGTTCCATTGGAGGACAACTAATAACCACCACAAGAGTGGGGGTGGGTAGGTTTTGGATTTCCACAGGTGGAGTGGCATCCCTGACCATGGGGAGTGGGCTGGGCAAAAGCGAGCATCTGAGGAAGTGTGACATGCTCAGGACATATAAAAGAGCCTGCCATTGACCTGGGTTCAAGGAAAGTTAGAAAGGAATACTGGAAAGGCTGTTTGGAGCCAGACTCACAGAAGACCTGGAATGTCTAAGTTTAAGAAATTTGCATTTAACTTGATAGGATACTAGGGGTCACAGATTACTTTGAGCCAGCAAGTGAGAGGCATACTGTCAAAATTGTGCAGTTGGTTAGAAGAGGAAATCAGTTAATGTACTGTTTCAAAACTCAGAAGTTCCGAGGGACCAAAAGAGATGGGCAAAAAGGAAAATGTAAGGATTTGTTTGAAAATCGCTCAGGTGTTGTCTCCTTTGCACATGTGTCCGTTTGTAAGTGCCAAGCATGCTCCGTAGACAGTTAAGGTGGTACAAACTACTAACTTGCTTGCCTGCTAACACAAACCTTAGAGTTTCCCATCCACCTTGCGGTGCCTTGGATGAAAAGCCTTGCGATCTCCTTCTGAAAAAATCAACCAATGGATATTCTGTGAAGACGGTTCTCTCCTGATACTCAAGGGGCCATTAGGAGTTGGAATTGGCTCAATGGCAACTGGCGGTTACAGTGGTGGGCTATTAAAGGAACTTCTAATATAGGATCTGCTTCCGGAGGGCCACCCTGAACCCTCTGCCAGATTCTGCCTCCCTCCCTCCCTCCCTGTCTATTTTAGGCTTCTTCCCAGTCTTTGGGATTCTCTTTTTCCCTGGACCTTAAAGGGCTCTGGGCTCTCATTTGACTTCAAAGCATCTTCCTACTCTTGCTGGACTTCATGTAGAATTCTGATCTTCTGGGGAAACTCACCCCCTGCACTGTGCACCCCCGTTGGTTTGCATTCGCAAAGCAAGATGAGGTTTCGGTGGAATGTCAGTGCAGAGATATGAGTCCTCCAAGCCAAGGCTGCTGGACCCCTTTTCCCCAGAGAACTTCGCCTCTGGTTGGCTATGCACTCGATATTGAATTCATTCCTTTTGCCAAATTTTTCACGACCCCCACGTTCAATTAGGCAACCCAGTTTAGGAAGCTTTGCTATAAGCAACCCTGCTTATAATCTTATAATTTAATGCATATTTCATGCGTGCGCGCGCGCGCGCACACACACACACACACACACACACACACAATTTTATCTTGCCTCTTTGGGACTTTGGGAGTATGAAGGGTTAATGTTGTGGTATCAGTGAGCTTCTTGCTGGCTGGCCTTTGCAACTGATAGATGTTTTACTTTGGCCTTATAAAGACATTTTACCCGCTGGAAACCCTTGTCCTATGACAGGATCAAAAATAGCCCGGCGGCAGCGGACAGCCCCTGCTGTCCATCACCACATGTAAACTGGCATGAGCACAAGCTCTCTTTAGTCCATGTCCCTGCACTGTGGATGAGGCGACCTCCAGGGACAGAGTCTGCTGAAGACACACCTGTTGCTTCGAATGAGCCAGCCACCCGGGGTGCAGAAAGGTTGAGAGCGTGCGTCCAACCAGGAGTCTGGTTTCTGACAAGCAGCTAAAGAACATATCTTGGGCTGTCCTCAGAAACACCCTGGTGACGTGGTTTCTCCTGGCATCGGGAATGATCCACAAGTTCTAATGAAAAGCAGTGTATTTTCATCACCAGGGCAAAGCCCGCTGCCCTGGGTGATAAATACATCTTTTCCAGGGATCGTCTTTCTTAATGAATGCATTTAGTGAAACGCTAGGAAGGTCAAAATAATGTCTTTGGAGCACCAGAAGGCAGAGCTTTCTGCTGTGGGTTCACTCTGGTGCCAAGATATCGCCATGTGCTTGCGCTTGTTTTACGCTCTGGGGGCGCTTGGCCCACAACCACCTGGCACTGTGGTGCCACACTTGAGGCAGCCGGAAGGTTTCTGACGGACGTTGAGCGAGAGAACGATGAAGATCAATCAAATGTCCATAGTAGTATTGCAGTGTGTGCGACAGAGACCCGCAAGAGTTAAGACTGAGCCATGTGGCGTTTTTTATTGATTTGTTTGTTTATTTTGTGATTTTTCTTTTGAACGGATTCAATGTCAAGGAAGGCCTCTGGCATCAGTTCTTGTCTGCAATCTGTGAATAGATCATTTTTAAAAAGATAGTTGATTCCCCCCCCCCCCTGTTCTTGAACTTCCTGCAGGGCCTTAGAAGACAAATTGTTTGGATACAGTAGCTGGGACTAGGGCAGAGGGAAAACAGAGGGAAAACAAATAGGCTCATCTCTGTTGCCGTATGGAGGATGAAGCAAAGCTCATGAGTGTGCACAAATAATAACAATGTTTTGTCGTTCACAAAACATATATGAGCCATCTATGTTTATATTAATACAGGAGATAGTGTTTCCTTTCCCTCATCCTCCTAGTTCCCTCCTCCCCAAACCCTTCTGTCCGACATTAGAGATAAACAAGCTGACTAGCTCTCACTTGCCTGCTAGGCAAACAGGTTTGAGGACCTCTGTGTCCTGATGAATATTTAGGGGCAAGCAGAGGAGAAAGAAAGAAAAAAGTGCTACACCTCTCTTTGGAATAACTGCCGTGAATGTTAATAGCATTTCTGTAGCTTCCCACCACAGCCCTTGTGATAGAGTGAGCTGCACTACAATTCGTTTGAGAAGTGTGATTCTGCTGTGTTTACCACACTTGTGAACTTTTAAATTCTTTTTTTTGTTGTCGCCTGCTTCTTTTTAGTTATTATTTTATTTATTTATTTTTAATCAGGGTGACTGAGGTTGCAGAGGGATTAATGTGTGCTGAGTCTGCCTAGCAATTTCAAGTAGGGTTGCCATGATAATAAGCATATGTTGTTGAAGCCAAATATTTTGCCGAAATTGGTTTTCGCTTTGACAAACTGGCCCCATGGAATTGAATGATCACGGATGACGGGGGACCCCCATGTATACTGCAAAGAAGTTTCCTATTTGCTAAAACGTCGCTCTTTATGCACCTTGACTTCTATCCCAAATCTTGGATAGATGGCATTCAATGGCCCTGCATAATTATTTATAAAAATCTAAGTGAGGGTGGGTGGGTATTGTGGTGTTTTTGCTCTTGAATTACACCCCACCCCCCAAAACAAAACAAAAAAAAAGCTGCATGACTGTGGCTACAGTCAGAGTAATTTGAATGGACCACTCACAAGTAGATATTGTGGCAACCCTATGATCATAATAACCACTAAATTTGAGTTTGTCTTCTTTCTGGACAATGAACGCTGCTGAGCGGCGGTAGTAATGGCTGCCTGACGTTGTTCTCCGTTTTTCAACAGGATACCTGCGCACTATGTCTATCCACAGGCTTTTGTGCAGCCTGGAGTTGTCATTCCGCATGTCCAGCCAACGACAGCTGCTGCCTCCACCACACCTTACATTGATTACACTGGAGCTGCGTATGCACAATACTCGGCCGCCGCAGCTGCCGCCGCCGCCGCTTTTGGCCAGTATCAGCCTCAGCAGCTGCAAACAGACCGAATGCAATAGACTAGCCATCTGATCGGAGTTGAATTGTTCTCTCTTCCTCTCGACCCTTTGCCCC